GCTCAGTTTGATCATTTTTTTGCCATTTCGTATGTCATTTTTGAAGCTCATATCTTTTTACTTTTTCTAAATTGTTTTCAAGTAAACTCTAACAAACTTCCACGCCTTTCTGCTGATTAGTAAAATAAATAATTAAAAAAATACCTAAAACAGCCAAAAAGGGTCATTTTGACCCTAATAAGAAAAATTTTCACTTTTACAGCTTTATGTTTGTTTTTGATTTTGTAGAACTGAAAACTATATGAAGATGAATTGAAGAACGGAAATTAGGGCCCAGCGTGTTAAAAAAAATGTCACGCACAACATTTTTCGTGACCTTATAAGATATCTTACTACTCGATTACCGAAGTAACTTAGTGGAGTTCCTATTGAACTATAATTTCATTATTGCGCTTGGAAGAAACCATTTATGTACTTGCTGATAATAAACAGTTATATTTGTTACAATCCTGGACAAGAAAGTATTGTTGCGGAACTGTTATTGTCACGTAAGTAATAAAAGAAAATTTTTGTATGACCTTCAAGTAACACGTCTTTGAGGACAACTGATATAAAATCCCCCAAAAATTGTTTTGAATGGCTATCTTTGTTTGTGCAAGGGGGAAAATGGGAAATTGAGTTGCAACTTGGGGAAAGTATAGTGCTCTAATTATGGTTCCACTACTAAACTCCAGGCTCAGCGGGATTAGTGTGTTTTGCTTCAGTAAAACTTGCAGATGAATTTTTTTCGCAAAAATACAAATTGCAGGGATACTACGCTTGAGGAAGAGAAAATTCCTTCCTAATTTCAGTTTCCCTTTTTCGTCATGACATTTATCATTTGTACTGCCAGATGTAAACTTTCTACTTACTATATAGGTGCAAAAGAAAAAGAAAATTATAATTCTGAATAGTATTTATGCGAATGTGTTTGCAGACGATGGCACAAAGTAGAAGAAAATCACTATCACTTACTACAATAGTACGAAGTATGATGCAGGCTTAGCAGATTAGGTGTTGAAGAATTGTTTTACAAGAGGTGAAAGATGCAGACGTCTTGCATTTCTTCCCAACGTTTCTTATATTGCTGTCCTCAATGCTTACATTGTTTTCAATTAATCATTCGCCCCCCCCCTCCAAGTACTCAATGGGTATTCCTCTGGTGTTTGCTGAGGAGTTGCAAAATAGTTTTTTGCCCCTAATTTATTAAATTCTTTCTCCAAAATACAAGAAACATACCTTTTAACAGAGTAAGACACTGTATAAAATGAATACTAGTTATAAGAAATGCTAGAAAACAATTTTCAATGTTTTATCCGCCACTTTCACGTCCACGCAAATGCCTAACTAAAGATGGAACTCAACAGTTTGAAACATATTGTGTGCTAATGCGTATTACTTATATTCATGTCGTTTGTTTATTTTTATACTACTTGCGCTCTTTCGAAAGAATAATCTGTAATACAATATCACATTATATTGCAATATTATCATTGCGTTAATAAAAAAAGAAAAAAAAACTTTTAAAATATAGTATTTTCAACAACATTCATCATTTAAAATATCAATTAATTTGAAATAACCGCAATTTATTATGAGGGTCAAATTGACTTGGAATGGCGGATTCAGGTCCAAAATCCGGCTGCTCTAACGTTAAATATATATTCGCTACGGTAAAATAGCATTCGAATTGTAGCTGTCAAGTGATTAGCGTACAAATTTTTTTTAATTATAATTAACTAAAAATAAATAGTTATAATATAGAAAGAGGGTTATCTATTCCTAATCTATTGAGAGTACAAATTAGTTCAGTCCGTTTTTAAAAGATGGCTTTGGCCGTTGTGAATGTTTCATAATAGTGATAGCTGGTTTCGATGGTTTCAGAGAGGTTAGACATCTGTCAATAATATTCAGTTTATATCACTTTGAGTTTCATACAAAACCCCTGTTTTTTAATTTGTTGAATATGTCAAATTTTGTGGTAACTAAACTGCATTTGAGGGAGGTTTTATGTTTCTGACTTAATTTTAAGAAAAGTGCGGCTGGAGCGCATCGAATGCTTGTAGAAGCTTATGGTGACAATGCTCCAACTGATAAATAATGTGGGGAATGGTTTCGGCGTTTTAAGAATGGTGAATGTAGAATGGTGTTGCATACTATGTGCTGCTACAACCTGGCGATTCCATTACGGGTGATCGGTATAGGCTACAATTGATTCGTTTGAACCGTGCATTACGAGAAAAACGGCCGGACTACGATCAAAGACATGACAAAGTTAATCTTCTGCTTGATAACGGTCGGCCTCATGTCGCAAAAGTCGTAAAAAATTATTTGGAAACGCTCAAATGGGATATTTTTCCACACCCGCAATATTAGCCGGACATTGCTCCTTCTGATTATTGGTTGTTCCGACGGATGCAGCATGATTTTACGGATCACCGGTTCACTTCTTTCGCAGAAATCGAAAATTGACTCCTAACTTGGATCGCCTCAAAAGGCGAGACATTTTTTCGAGATGGAAATCGAAAAATTGCCTGAGAGGTGGGGAAAGATAATAGCCAGCGATGGGTAATACTTTGATTAATCTGTTCGTTCATTTTGTTCTGAAAAAACGGACAAAAAAACGGACCGAATTAATTTGTACTCCCAATAATTCATGAGTAAAATGTATAGGAATCACTATTTTCATTATTGAAAGTATAATCATAAAACACGAATCTAATAAATTATCCAGCTCATTAGTCTGAAAATATTAGCAAGGTTTTCGAAAAACATAATTATATTTTAACTTTATTATTTAAGTTTATAACTATTATTTTTTATGACACACATTAAAAAGACACTTTTTTTAATTCAACAAAAAGTTTCTCATTTGGAATTATAAAACATCCTCAATCTAAGTTTGCACGTACATTAGATGACTTAGAAGCGAAACAATTTAAGGAAAATTAGAATTCAAAACCAAGTAACGAATTAGCATAATGTCGTGCAATTTTCATTATTTTCAAAAATACTCAATTTCTTTTAAGCCACTCTCACAAATGCCTTTTTGCTACAATTCAAAAATATTTGCATTATTATTAGATAAAACAGATTAAAAATATGCCATGAAATAATTATCTTTGATCTGATGAGTTTTGAAATTTCGTGAAAGTAAGATTATCTTCAAAATGTTTTTGTGTGATTCTATAGAAATTAGCATAATAAACTTTAAAGCACGCACAAGGGAATTTTAATTGGATATCACTCTAAAAACATGATTATCGATCAACTTTATAAAACTCCGTCTGTTTTCACAGCGTTGTTATTACGAAATTAATTCAAAGTTAGAAAAGACAGCAATGTTTATTTCGACCAACTGTTAACTAAAATGAAGAATATTAATATAAAAAGTGTGTGTAAACGAAGTTATGCAGGTTTTATTAAAAAATGATTGGTTATCGTAATTGGGATAGTTAAGGTTGTCTACAATATTCAAGATTATTGTTATACTTCATAAAACTTAGTGTATTTTCGTATTTCTATTATTTATGATTAATTTGAAGTTTCCATTAACAATTTTATAACCGTCGTTTTACATCCGACCCAATTTTGGGTTTATGACTACTTATGTTCTACTCCGTAGCCTTGTAATTTTGAACCCAATCCAGAAGACAAGGAAATTCCTGGATCAAATATTGGGAGAAATTTTGCCTTCGTGGAAGACTTTTGGGCAAAACTAATCCGAATTTGAGTTACATAGAGAGGAAAACCACGAAAGCCTATAACGCTAGCCTGCTGGCAAGGGGACTTCAACCCATTATCCATCTACCACTCAGGATAATTTAAGGCAGCTCTGTAGTCGTGGCGAGCCAGGTGCGGAATTCGTATTAACCTGCCATCGCTCAGACTCGTATCCGGTTCACCTCATTGAAAGGCAAACGCTCAATCCCCTGAGCCACCACGTCTCTCCATTGACAATTATGCTTATTTCTGTAACTAATTAAAACTAAATGGTATTAAAAAGTAACTTATTTACGAAATTGCGCATGTATCACCCAAACAAGGCTGAAGGAAATTGGTCGAATAATTCTTGGATAATTGAATTTCAAATTTACGACATTTTTTTTTTAAAAATTTATGACTCAGTGACTATTGGTACAATTTCACTCAAACTTTAGTATATTTCCATTTATAATTACATGCTTTGAATTGATGGCAATTTTTTTTTTTTGCCTTACAATTCAAACTTATTTTTACTATTATTAAAATACTAAAGCCCAGAGATTCAGAGCAATGCTGCCGAGAGCATCAGAAGGGGGAAGTTCATCTAGGTGGATCAACTGATCATCACAATCAACTAATCAGGATACATACAGACCAAACATACCTAACAGAATATTAAACCAATCTCTTAAACATGCATTTTGGTCTGTATTCATTTTTTAAACTGGCATTTTTAGCTATGCCTAATCTCTTAAACACGCATTTTGAGCTATGTCCATTCTTTTAAACACGCATTTTGAGCTATGACCAATCTCTTAAACACCCATTTTAAGCTATGTCCATTCTCTTAAGCACGCATTTTGAGCTATGTCCATTCTCTTAAACATGCATTTAAAGCTATGTCCAGAATAAAAATCTCTCCGACGAAATACTTCAGATTTAACAGAAATTGTTTGAAAACATCGAATATAAAGTAAACCATATTATCAGAATTACATTCTATGTAATATCCGGATTCAGACAAAGATATACAACTTTCTTTTCGAGGATTAAGCCAGCAGAAAATAACTTCGAAAAGTACTTCTATAGCCCAACAGAAATAGTTAAAGACTGCACATTTTGTTTCGTTTTTAAAACAATTGCTGAATAAATAAAAGGCAGTAGTCTTTTTCTCTTTCCTATTATAAGATGACTTTCAAAACGAGTTTCCAGGTTTGTTTGTTTTTTTTCTCCTCTTTGCTGCTGAATGCCAGAATTTCTTATCCGAAAAAAGTTTTTATTGTTTTTTTTGTTGTTGAAATGGGTAAGAAACTTACTTGTGGTTTTTCGTGACCGAGTCTTGTTTGTTGTGACTTGTCGGTCATATTGGGTGGAGGGATTTTACTGTCATCTTCTTTTCTACTCTTTTTGTGGCATCTGTAAGAGAAAAATTAATTAAAATTGTTCTTTTTTTGAATTTCGCTGTAATTAGTTTTGTTGAAGGGTAAAAAATACTGTTACAGACACGCATTTGTCTTAAATAAAAAAAAAAGATTTCTTAAATTTTCTGCGTGCCTTTTTGTCCATTAATTTTTTTATCACTATTGTTAAACCCTAAAAGTTTGGGTATTTCTAATTGATTTTCTTTCTATGATGTAAAACACAGATAGGAGTAGATAAATGGAGAGAAAAAATACTGTTACAGACACGCATTTATCTTAGATGAAACATCATTCATTAAATTTTCTGCGTGCCTTTTTGTCTATTAATTTTTTTAGTACTATACTGTTCAACCCTAAAATTTTGGGCATTTTTACGTGATTTTTTTTCTGGTGATGAGAAACACAGATAGGAATAGATAGATGGAGAGAAAAAATACTGTTATGGACACGCATTTGTCTTAAATGAGAACACCACTCCTGAAATTTTCTGCGTGCCTTTATGTCCGTTAATTCTTTAAGTATTAATGTTGAACCCTAAAATTTTGCGTCTTTCTACATGTTTTTTTTTTCTGATGATGTAAAACATTGATAGGAGTAGATAGATGGAGAGCAACAGTGCTGATTACAGTCAAGTGGTGAAAACTTAGGGTGTAACAGGCTGTAGTGCTCAAGAGGAATAAAAGGTAAATATTAAAAAGATAAATACCAAGATTTTTTGGTACGAAAGGATTGATTTATGAAAAAAATAAGGGTTAAAACTGTGAGAATATAATATTTTTAAACTTTGTTGATCACTTTGAACCATAGTATCACGCAATTTTGCTGCAAGTTAAATAGGATGTGGTTCAAAGTACGGATATCCTAGTACAGCATTGAACCAAGTTTCTTTAAAAATGTATTTAAAGAAAAGTAAATATTGAAATGATAAATAACATATTTTTAACATATACAGTGCGTCCACACAAAAAGCGGACCATCCTGTTTAACTTTTTATCTAATGATTCGACCTTCACGTTCTAGAACTTAATCTTAATGGTTGAAGGGGGTGAGCTCGAATATGCTAATTATTTAGCTCATACGATATTTTAAGTTACAAAATCAGGCAAAAAGACGTACTTTCTCTGAATAAACTTACAATATTTCGACGGATTTGGATTTCTGATCATCAAAATATAGGGGGTAGCCGCAATCTGGAAAATATGGTCCCCATAGTTTGATCAGGAGAGCGATCCAAAGCTTGGACCCTTTAATGCGAATTTTACTTTTGAGCATTTCTCCATCTCGAGAAATTTCTAAGCGAATTTAAACATTTTTACACACAATTACAAAATTTATTTATCCAAAAGTAATTCTATGCTAAAAATATATTTAAGTAGATATTTATTATTTTTAATTTTTTTTATTTAATCATAGTCAAAAAAAATTTAAATTGTACGGTATACAATTTTTTACATCAGTTTAAAGAAGTTAATTTTGCATGGTGAAATACAAAATTTTAACAAAATCGGCTAGAGAAAACAAATTTTAAATATACAACTTTTTTTAAATTCAATTTCTCAGGAACTATTCGATGGATTTCGCACAAATTTTATATTTTGCCATGGAAATTGTATCAGTACAAGAGGAGGATTTTATATATATAGAAACGATTAAAACGGTTAGAATATGACCACTTTCAATTATAATATCGTAAAAAGTTACTGCGACTTTAATATGGTACCAATTTAAACCCTATCATCGCATGGTACTAACTTAAACAGTATTATCTCAAAAATTCGATTACACGATATTACAGTTCAATTTAAATGAAATCAAGATTCAATTTAAAATTTTATTAATGTTGTAGAGGGAATTTGAAAGATGGGGTTCAAAACACGGTATCCTGAATCTCTATTTCCCCATTGACAAATTTTATTATGAAAAATTTCAAACATAGCATTGATTTAAATTACTAAATGTTCTCTGAAATCTTTACTTAATTCTGAAATCGGAACTACAATCGGAATATTTTATCTGGAAGGCCAAACTACAACAAGAATTCGTTTTCTTTCTTAAGTCCAGATTACCATTAGAATATTTTCTTTGAAATCAAGACTACACTCAGAATATTTTTTTCTGAAATCTAGATTGCAATCGAAAAATTAAATCTGAAATAACCGATATCTTTTTGTTTTCAACTAGCTATAAGCGAAACGAATAATATTTTCTTGGAATATTAACTTTCCGTCAAAACTAATAAAACGGATTTAATGGTATCTGTCGACTTAAAACAGAGAGTAAAAGTGATTGTCCAACTCTTGACAAATATCTTTCAACTCAAACGTTTATTTTAAAATAAACATAGTATTTATATTATAGCATAAAGAACATGAAATAATGATAAATTGGGCTTTTCTTGAAAACAAATGGTTACTGAGGAATAATATCTACAACTTAGAATAACTACTATGATAACGAGATTATTAAACTTATTTTACTGCTTTGATACTTGTTTAACACGAAAATATTCAAGGTTATTAGGATGGTCTAAATTTTCAGGTTGCGACTTATACCTCATAAACCATGATTTAGGGTAGGACTCACAGGCAATATCTCCATAGAAATCTCCATGTAAATTATGGATTCACTGAAAATATTACATTCAAATTAAAAAAATGGGTTCATGTCTAATTTTTGAAGTTTTATAATTGTAATAATGAGAACTAATTTATTGTTTTTAACTTTACTCATAACCACTCTTAAACTAACTGAATCAAAAATTTAATTACGTTTCTTTGAATTAGGGACGCTCCGCCAACATCGCGTTCCTGCCCACACTAGCCCCGACCAATTTTATTATATTGTAAATATTAGTAATAATATAATTGTAAATATTAATAATAATATAATTGTAAATATTAATAATAATATAATTGCAAATATTAATAATAATATAATTGTAAATATTAATAATATAATTGTAAATATTAATAATATAATTGTAAATATTAATAATAATAATCTTAAAAAGCATTTCTTAAAAATAAATAAATCTAACAAAATAAAAATCTAGTTAAACTCGACAATTTATGAGCTAGCAAGTGCAAAAATGATTCGAAGTACTTAAAATTTCTTTCCTGGGAAGTAACAAACTGGGAAACAAAATGGTGTGGAAAATTCTCAAAGCTTAAATTAATCGCCAAGTTTTAAAAAAAATTAAACTTTTCAAAAGTAATTTTAAAAAATAATTATTTCAGCAATTTTTCTGAAGTTGTGAGGATGATCAGTATGGCATTAATAGTTTTTGTTTATTAAATTATATAACTGTAGTAATCCATATGTATGCTATATTTCATGAAAACTCATCAAAAAGTAATTAAATATTATTTATTATTGGTGTTAAGCGAAAGCATATTCCAATTTTTTTTCGAATTATCATGAAATGTAATATGACACCTGGTTGAGTTATAAAACCAGCATTAAATAATACTAAGTGATTCCGGATTTTCAATCTAACGAAATATCTTCAGGAAACATCGACATTTTAAATATAAAGCGATATTTTATAAATTTGACTAATTAACGTTAATTTTAAATTGATAAATATTTTCGTTATCGGAATTAAATTAATAAGCACTTAGGATATTGCTTTATTTAATAATTATTGCGAATTCTTTTTCTTCGGTATTTATAAATTTTAATAATGATCGCAATATTATCGATAATTATCATAAAACACGATACTTATAACACATCATGAGAATAGGTTTTGAAAAATAAGTTTGAAAATGCTTAAAATTATCGATATTTTACGATAAATTGATATATCGCTCACCTCTTGTTCACAATTTGTTTAAAATTATCTAATATACAGTTCGCTTAAAGTTATTCGCTTGTTTCTTTTTTTATAAAATAAACCAAAATATTATCAAATCAACAGAAAGTTTAATAGCTAAAGAAAAGTTTATATATCGCATTTTTTCTTTATTTACAAGGTAATTTACAAAAAATAATTGCAAGTGCTGATGTTTCATAGCAACTATCTGGGTTTTACGTGTTTAGACCTTAAGCGAAAACTTAATAAAATGCTAAATGACCTAGTAATTTGTTTTTGTAGATTAAATTCTTTTGACTTTTACTATCCAGTAGTTTTTTTATGACTCGAGCTAAATTGAATTTTGTGTTTTATAGCAAAGAAAGAAGTAGTAGACATTTCTTTCATTTTATACACTTAAAAAAACATTTTAAACTGAGTAAACTGAATTTCTCGCTTACAGATACTTATGTTGCACTTTTTTAAATTGCATAAAAGAATCGGGTGTTAAAAAGCTATTCTCATTTTTTGTTAAAGTTAAAAATTAGAAATTTTAAAATGAGCTATAAATAAATTATATCCCATATCACGATTAAGAAATAAATAAAAATCATATAAAGTCTGAAATGTGAGGGGAAAGAATAATCTTAACAAAATTTAAAAAATACAACATGTAGATCAAATTTGTATTTTAACCTAACAATAAACTTATATTCAAAAATTATTATAGCTATATTTAAAAAACTAAGCTGCTTTCCCCCTGCTCTCTCCTCTCACCTACAAATCGTAACTTTTTCTCATTCATCGTTTTTTTTTAAAGTCGGTATTTTTTAAAAAATATGCAAAGATGACTTTATTGAAAGACATCAGATGGATTTAAAATGTACAATTATTATAATTTTATGCAAGGCCATTTCGTAGCCTTTGTTAATAATAACGAAATAAACATTTCCCTATATTTAAAAAAATAATCAACCGTATATTTGAAACAAAAAACAACTTTTGTATGGAAAATGTGTGATATAATAAGAAAAAAAAATACGAAATACTTTTCTTCAACGATCATGTATCGTTACAACAGTTCAAACACCAAAATGTCTTTTATCTCTCCTGAATTAAGATTTTTATCGTTTTAAAATTTTTAATGTAAATATTATGATTTATTTTTGGTAACATATAATCTCTCTCTCCAAATATTTTTT